ACTTGTGGGCGTCCCGTCATTAAGTAGCGGTTGTGGAGTGTGTTTTAGCTCCCATTTGGGCCGGCATGTTTACGTCCGTGGCGCGTGGTTACACGGCTGACCACGGCTGCCATTTCACTGGGCGTCGGCAAAAGGCATACGGGGGCCACACAAATGTTTAGGGCGTCATCGCTTGATTGCTGGATGACATTTAGGGCGGTAAAAAAAGCGTAAATGAATATCAACACGCGATTTCCAGATGCTTGTTTGTAATCGAAGCGCAGCAGTTGATATTTGGCAAGGACTAATAGCCGTTTGGCTATAAGTTATGTACTTATAGAACTAGCAGCAAGGTGCCAGTTAGCTCTAAGCATTCGTCAACCATTGGCATTACTCAATGGGGCCTAGTATGAGGCTTTAAGTGAAGTTTATGAGTGTACAATGGTGAAATGCGGCAAGCAACGCATGTTGTAGTTTCAGTGGAATTATTAAGGGAGCTTAGCGCCGTTTTATTTAGAGCAATTCTTTGGGGTGGTATTGTTATTGCAGCAGTCGGCTACCTTGAATAATATAAAATCCATCGCACGCTTGTCCATAGCATGTGGCGCTCACGCTGACTAGCGCTGAGCGTCAAATCTAGTATTTTGGGGGGCGAAAATCGAAGGCTGGAGTTGGGCTGCTAGCTGGGCAACTGTCGGCCGGGCGATTATGTGTCCAGTATGTGCCTCCGTCGCCGGCTGTGTAGGCGGCTGACTCATTACGTCATTACTACAGATTTGCTAAATCGCAGGCGCAGAGGTGGGTCATCACGGCATGGCGCGATAAATAACAAGACGTTATTGTGGAGTATTATGGCTGCGTCCATGAGCTAAAATGCGAGAAAAGATAGTAGAAGGAAAAGGATTCCATTTGTCAATGAATGACGCGAAATGCGAGGTTTGGCGCGAAGTCATCAGCTAAAACGTGGGAGAGTCGGCAGGTCGGCAGCCACTCCAGTTCGATTTTCGCAAAATAGCTCAGATTTGACGCGCTTAATATCTGCAAGGGTAGGGCATCGTATGGACAAGTGGTTGGTTTTTATATATGCAAAGGTAGGACTGGGGCTGAATAATAATACCACAAATAATGTTAAAAGGGCAAGTGGCCGCGGAGCGAGGCAGGCGGTCATGCCTAAGCGTCCTACGCTGCGGATGACTCTGTGTGGATGTGTGGGATTCTAGTAAACCCTGTTAGTCCGCAAATGTGCTTCACTAGCACGCGCGAAACAGTGAAATCTGCACAGGGAGGTACTCAGGACCTTCTCAAAGGAATTGTTCGTTGGAATCGTTATAAAGTTGGCACAAGATGGGGCGGCGTACTTTCAGTGTTCTTCGGATTAAACAGATGGAAGCTCGCCATCGTAGCTAGTAGAAAGGCGAACTATATGGGCAAGACAGAAATGGTAAGCACTCATACCATTTACCTACGCGGCAAGGCGCTACAGGCTGCAATAGAGCAGCCTGCCACGCTGTACGGCAATTAACGCAGGGGCAAAAACTAACACAGTAGGCCACCAACACATGCAGCTGCCAGTAGCACTGGCAGTGGCATACGTTAAATGTAACATAGCTGACCAGTACAGAATGCGCAAATAGAAATTATACAATTTAAGGAGAGCATAAACGCTTCTTTAACCAATTTAGCTTTTGAATATTTCACTGCTGACATTGTAGGCCTCATAGCATCGCAGGGCATGTATAGTATTCCTACTAGCAAACCCGGCAGTCAAATTCTTTTGCCTAAGCAGACAGTCAACAAATCCATGTTTTAACGCCTCGCTCTTGAGGGTTCAAAAGAGTTATCTGAGCACCTTACTCTTTGCATGTCAGCGCAGAAAGTAGATTTCATGGTCCTTTCAAATAATGCCATAAAATGCTAGGTCAGGCCGCGGCTGAAACAAAAAGTTTTTCAATCGCTCCGTCAGACCATGTCGCTCAGAAAAATGTCTAAAATCTGGGGCCCTGTGCCCAATATGACCCTTTCAGCCCTGTGACCTCCAATTTACAGGCACAGTGATGGCTTTTTGCCTAGCATGGATCGGCTTATACACGGCAACTATCACGAGCCTAGGTTGAGGCGCGGTTTAGATTTGTTGCAGCAATTCTGGCATTTCGCTCGCTATACCTTAACGTAAGCGAGTGAATGTTCGGGCCCCTTCTTTTAGCACCTCTGACCTTTGACGGCTTTGACGCGCGCCACTTCGACATCCAAACTCGTTTTCGGATTAGCGCCCCCCCACGTCCCGAATATCGTGACCGTACGTCGAGCCGTTTAGATTTGTGCCCAACTGTTGACGGACGGACGGACGGACGATCATGCGATTCTACAAGCTGCATCTGACTATGTCAGATGAGCTAATAAAACAGGCAAAGTTTACTAATTCCACTGAAACTACAACATGGTTGTTGTATTTCACCGTTGTATGCTCTCAATTAATACGCTCTTGATACTATACTACTACTGCTACTAATATATATATATATATATCAAGAGAGTAAATAAATGCAATGAAATGTGCAAGGCTAAATGATTTGAAATCCAACGTTTGCTAGCCTTTTTTTACGTATTTTACGTAAGAGTTATTACATTTATTTAAAAGAATAATAGGCCCATTGATTATGCAAAGTTGACGAATGCTACAGTAACTGGCACCTTGTGTAGTTTTAAAATAAGTACATTATCTTATAGCCAAACACGTATTAGTTTGTCCAATATCACTGCTGGTTACTAAGAAATGTCTAATTGAAATCCGCAGTCCAAGAAATCAGTTGACTGACTTGTTTACAGTTTCGAAACCGCATACGGCGAAACGGGTGTGATACAGATTTATAGTGCACCGGACATTTTCGCACGCATGTTTGGCCGTACGCAATGCTAGCGATAGTACAGTACCGTAACTGTATACATAACAGTAGCTCTGATTGTAATGAACGTGGAATCCACGTACGAATCACGGACGCTCGTGATAATGAAGTAGGCTGTGTTGGGGGCCAACACTATGGGGGGATCGGGGACTAACCACGGCCACAGACTTGACATAGAAAGCAGACTGCACTACGTGTATTTACGTATATTGGTCAAACGAATACACCTGTGTCCGAAATTGAAGACATGTTGGTACCCGTTCATTAGCACCCACGGTTATTTACTTGTGCCTCAATACCGAGAATACACCCAGAGATACATTCTACTAGCTCATTAGTGATTAGTCGTTATAAGCATCCCGGGACAAACAATTCTCTGCTCAACACCCGTAGCAACATGTGACGTCACCTAACCGAATTCGAGGCTAATTTGCTTGGCAACCAATTTAGCATTGGCGCCAGATTACCAGATTTACAGATTTCAATTAGACATTTCTTATTAATTAGCAGTGATATTGGACAAACTAATACGCGTTTGGCTATAAGGTAATGTATTTATTAACTACACAAGGTGCCAGTTACTGTAGCGTCAACTTTGCATATTCAATGGGCCTATTATGCCTTTAAGCAAACCTGACCTCAGAATTCACCTCATACATAATGCTAGCATCACGTGTAATTGGCTTTCCCATACACATTTAACATCGGAGCGTTGTGCGATTCATTTAAAAGAAAAGACTGTTTGAATGTTCAGTGCGGTCCTTTGATGACGTCAGAAACTGTGCTGTGCTATATAGCTATATATATATATATATATATATATATATACATATGTAATTCTGTCGTGTGTTTATCAATTTGTTTTCGTGCAAAGGAGAATGATCAAATAAGTGAGTTTCTTTACTAGTCTTTCATAATATTATTATGTGATAACACTCGTATGTCACTTTTCAGGCCGTTCGACGTTTCATACCTTTAGATTCATTATGCACAATGTCAAATATTGAACTCAATAATTGTATTTATTTTTGTGTTGAATGGCAATTTTAAATCTGTGTTTCACTGTTAACTCACTGTTGTTTAGGAGTTAGACATGATTATCTTTGTGGAGTTGCAAAAGAAATGTGATGCTGAAAAGGTGCTTTATCTTACGATGTGCACATATATTGGTAATTTACCAAACAGTCAAAGAAATTAAAATTTTGCGGTCTAGGCAGCAGCAGCAGTTTTAACATGTCAGTATGATTAGCTAAAGATTTAACCTCCATATTATGCCAAAGGGAATTGATTTACTTATAGGCCTACACAGGCAAGTGTTATAGATCTAGTAGTGAGCGTGTCCTAACAATGATGTGTACGCAACTGCGTATCTGCATATCTGCGCCTAACAAATGTGTCACTACGCACGACTGAAATTGTACGTTCATAACCGTAGCAACAGACCCCAGATGAGCCCAGACGCTCTGCGGCTCTTGTTTTATATAACGATGCATGTGAACTTTCAGAGCGTTTTGATTGCCTGTGTATGTGTGTAGTGAGCCGTGGCCCTTTAAGCACTGATGACGTCAGAGACATGATACATCCAGCTTTTTTACGGTATACATTATGCCAGAATCCATCAGCGTCCACCCTTCTACAGCTGTCATCTGCCAGTGATAGTTGAAATTGCCACGGGGTCGAAAATAGAATTTACAGCTCATTATATAGAATTTTGGTTTCATACTCTGTAATTGTGGTAATTGAGAAATATCAAAAATACCATATTTACATAAAAACTCAAAATTTGTGTTGTTACATAATTGGGTGCTGAAATTTCATGAAATTTTTGGTTTGAGCATAGAGATACATCTCATCTATAAATAAAACGTGTGATTGATTCGATTTATTGGCCAATGAACGTTTACTCTTCATTAGAGCAATATCCGTGCAAAAGCTTGAGTGTATCCTTACATAAATAAAAGAGATGAGGTAGATATGAAAAATAAAAAGGATTTATTAATTTTAATCTGGTCATAACTGTTATCATTGTAATCTAGTTATATATGCTTACATAAATTTACATGTTTAATATTGTGTGCTAATAAGTCTTTGTGTATAATGTCATTTAAAAACTTGCAGGTGTGGAGAGATTTCTACATGGGAATGTTTGCATTTATGGTCATAGCCGTGATGTCCATGCAATTGCACTCTCAGTTCCTATCAGAAAAGTGGAGGGTCAGGCGCTTGGTGATGTATGCTTTATTGGCTGCGTATGGTGTCATCCCTTGTCTGCACTGGATATATCTAAATGGTGGTTGGCAAAGCAGTATTGTACAGGTAAGGAGGCGTGAATAACTTGAATAACAATCGGTGTTATGTGACGTATGGGTATCCCATATAAGACCTTGTGCAATATAATATTGTATCGCAGTACTACTAGTACTACTTAGTAATATGCATGATTAAAACTAAATAAAATGGTAATGAATAGTGTGTAGTTTATATCTTAAATTTTTTATATAATCAAGATTCAATATTGTATGCGTTACTTCCCATAAAAAATTGCTCATGGTACTCTGTTTCTTCCTACACTAGGTGTTTATCCCCAAGGTAATCACGATGTACCTGGTGTGTGGGGTGGCATTTGGATTTTACATATTCATGATACCTGAACGTTGGTTACCAGGTGAGTGTTGGTTGCATTTTTGTATTTAAATTATATTTAGTCAGGAATACCTTTTGCCTGCACCCACACCCCTCCAGTAAAACTTTACCTGTCTAACCTGTGATAAATCATTATAACACATTTTATATTGATTAGGGCTGATATTTTATGGATACTAATAAATGTGTAATATGTTTACGATATTTGAAAATCTGTCTGCTGCTAAGATACTTGCTGAGTTATGTACATCACATTTAACTTACTGTTCAGTACTAACCTGATTGTGCTTTTGTCAGAGCTATTAAAAATAGAGCTAGTGTATACACAAACCTGTGTTATGTGCACCTCTCGAACAAACACCTGTCTGTAAAAGACTTAAAGTTTTCCTGGAGTGACTCATATATATAATTATATATATATATATATATAGTTTGGAGTTATATAATTCGTTTGGCTGATTGACTGCAGGTAAATTGGACTATGTTGGGCACAGTCATCAGTGGTGGCACATCATCATGGTTTTTGCAATGTACTGGTGGCACAGGACTGGCCTGGAATTCGCTGCCATCATGGCACTTCATCCCTGTATTTGAAATTTGAATTGGAAACCTTCAGAACATGGTGGTGATCTTTTTATCTTTCTCTTGTTCCGTTTTTAATAATAATACTATCAAGAGCGTATTAAAGGCATACTACTAGGCCCATTGATTATGCAATGTTGACGAATGCTAGAGTAACTGGCACCTTGTGTAGTTAATAAGTACATAACCTTACATCCAAACACGTATTAGTTTGTCCAATATCACTGCTGGTTACTAAGAAATGTATAATTGAAATCCGCAGACCAAAAATCAGTTGTTTACAGTTTCAAACCGCTGGCGGCGAAGCGGGTGATACAGATTTATAGCGCACCGGACATTTTCGTACGCACGCTCGGCCGTACGCAATGCTATCATCAGTGATTTCATAAACATGTACGCTCGTGATAAGGAACTTTTTGTCAGGGCTGTCCACGTGCGTCCGTCATTAGTACGTTGTGGAGTGTGTTTTACTCCATTTCCATGTTTAGTCCGTGGCCGTGGTTACACGCTGACACCTCCATTTTCATCTGGCAGTCCAAAACATACGGGCCACACAAATGTTACGTCATCGCTTGATTCCGGATGACATTTACGGCCACGTAAATGAATATCAACAACCGATTCAAGTCTTGTTTGTATGTAACAGCAGTATATTGGGACAAAACTAATACGCGTTTTGGGGCTATAAGGTTATGTACTTATAACTACACAAGGGCCAGTTACTCTAGCATTCGTCAACATTGCATACTCAATGGGCCTAGTTATGCCTTTAAGTGAAGTATGAGAGTGTACAATGGTGAAATGCAACAACCATTTGTAGTTTCAGGAATTATTAAACTTTACCCGTTTTATTTAGACAATCTTTGCGGTATTGTTATTCAGCAGTCCTACCTTGTAAATATAAAATCATCCGCTTGTCCATACGAGTCCTACGCTGACTACGCTGACGTCAAATCTAGTATTTTGCGAAAATCGAACTGGAGTTGGCTGCTAGGCTGCAACTGGTCCGCGATTAGTGTCCAGTATGTTGCCTCGTGCGTCGCCGCTGTGTAGCGCTGACTCATTACGTATTACTACAGAGTTTGCTAAATCCAGCGCAAGAGGTGGTCATCACCATGGCGATAAATAACAAGACGTTATTGTGGAGTAATGGCTGCGTCCATGACTAGAAATGCCGAGAAAAGATAGTAGAAGGAAAAGGATTCCATTTGTCAATGAATGACGGAAATGCGAGGTTTCCGCGAAAGTCATCACTAAACGTGGGAGAGTCGCAGGTCGCAGCCAAACTCCAGTTCGATTTTCGCCAAAAATACTAGATTTGACCGCTTAATATCTCAGGTAGGGGCATCGTATGGACAAGTGGATGGTTTTTATATTATCAAGTAGGACTGCTGAATATAAATACACAAAATAATTGTAAAACAAGTGCCGCGGAGCGACAGCGTCATCTAACGTCTACTGCGGTGACTACTGTGGTGGAGTGGTGGGATTCTAGTAACCCTGCTTTAGTCGCCATGTGTTCACATTACAACGCCAAACAGGTGATTCACAGGGATGGTAATCAGGAACCTTCTGTCAAAGAATGTCGTTGGAAATCGTTATGAAAAGGTTTGCCACGAGCGCGTACGTTAGCTTCTTCCGGCATTAAAGTTTTTATGGACAGCTCCAACTTCGAACGTAGTAGACAAAGCACAACCCTATTTGCAAGAACAGAATAGGTTTAAGTCACTCATCACATTACTACGCAAGCCTACAGGCTGCAGAATAGAAGAGCTGCCACCTGCTAACCAATTAAACGCAGCAAAAACTACCACAGTGACCACCAAACACAGCACTACAAGTAGCCACTGGCAGTGGCATACGTTAAATGTGAACATACTGCCAGTACAGAATGCCATAGAAATTATACATTTGAGAGGACAGTAAACTTGCTTTAACCAAATTTAGCTTTTAAATTTTCACTGTGACATTGTAGCCTCATACATCCAGCATGTAAGATTCTACTAGCAAACCCGGCAGTCAAATTCTTTCTAACAGACAGTCAACAAATCCAGTTTAACCCCTCCTCTTGAGGGTCAAAAGGTTATCTGCACTTACTCTTTGCATGTCAGCAGAAAGTAGATTTCATGCGTCCTTTCAATAATGCCATAAAAATGCTAAGTCACCGCTGAAACAAAAAAAGTTTTTCAATCGCTCCGTCAGACCATGTCCTCAGAAAATGTCTAAAATCTGCCCTGTGCCCATGACCTTTCACCCTGTGACCTCCAATTTCAGCACCAGTGATGGCCTTTCCTACCATGATGCTATTACACCAACTATCACGAGCCTAGCGTGAGCCGGTTAGATTTGTGCAGCAATTCTCATTTCCTCCCTATACCTTAAGTTAAGGAGTGAATTTCCCCCTTCTTTTACACCTCTTGACCTTTGACCTTTGACCCCCAGCTTCGACATCCCAACTCGTTTTCGGATTACCCCCCACGGTCCCGAATATCGTGACCGTACGTCGAGCCGTTTAGATTTGTGCCAACTGTTGACGACGGGCGACGGACGATCATGCGATCTACAAGCTGCATCTGACTATGTCAGATGAGCTAAATAAACAGGCAAAGTTTACTAATTCCACTGAAACTACAACATGGTTGTTGTATTTCACCGTTGTAGCTCTCAATAATACGCTCTTGATACTATACTACTACTGCTACTAATAATATATATATATATCAAGAGAGTAAATAAATGCAATGAAATGTGCAAGGCTAAATGATTTGAAATCCAACGTTTGCTAGCCTTTTTTACGTATTTAGACGTAAAGATTATTACATTTATTTAAAAGAATAATAGGCCCATTGATTATGCAAAGTTGACGAATGCTACAGTAACTGGCACCTTGTGTAGCTTTTAAAATAATACATTATCTTATAGCCAAACACGTATTAGTTTGTCCAATATCACTGCTGGTTACTAAGAAATGTCTAATTGAAATCCGCAGTCCAAGAATCAGGTTTGACTGACTTGTTTACAGTTTCGAAACCGGCATACGGCGAAACGGGGTGTGATACAGATTTATATGCACCGGACATTTTCGCACGCATGTTTGGGCCGTACGCAATGCTAGCGATAGTAACAGTACCGTAACTGTATACATAACAGTAGCCTCTGATTGTAATGAACGTGGAATCCACGTACGAATCACGGACGCCTCGTGATAATGAAGTAGGCTGGTTGGGGCCAACACTATGGCGGGGATCGGGGACTAACCACGCCCACGACTTGACATAGAAAGCAGACTGCACTACGTGTATTTACGTATATTGGTCAAACGAATACACCTGTGTCCGAAATTGAAGACATGTTGGTACCCGTTCATTAGCACCCACGGTTATTTACTTGTGCCTCAATACCGAAGGAATACACCCAGAGATACATTCTAAGCTCATTAGTGATTAGTCGTTATAAGCATCCCGGGACAAACAATTCTCTGCTCAACACCCGAGCAACATGTGACGTCACCTAACCGAATCGAGGCTAATTTGCTTGGCAACCAATTAGCATTGGCGCCAGATTACCAGATTTACAGATTTCAATTAGACATTCTTATAATTAGCGCAGTGATATTGGACAAACTAATACGCGTTTGGCTATAAGGTAATGTAATTTATTAACTACACAAGGTGCCAGTTACTGTAGCGTCAACTTTGCATATTCAATGGCGCCTATTATGCCTTTAAGCAAACCTGACCTCAGAATTCACCTCATACATAATGCTAGCATCACGTGTAATGGCTTTCCCCACACATTTAACATCGGAGCGTTGTGCGATTCATTTTAAAAGAAAGACTGTTTGAATGTTCAGTGCGGTCCTTTGATGACGTCAGAAACTGTGCTGTGCTCGCTATAAAGCTATATAATATATATATATATATTATACTATAATATATGTAATTCTCGTCGGTGTGATCAATTTGTTTTCGTGCAAAGGAGAATGATCAAATAAGTGAGTTTCTTTACTGTCTTTCATATATTATTATGTATAACACTCGTAGTGCACTTTTCAGGCCGTTCGACGTTCATACTTTAGATTCATTATGCACAATGTCAAATATTGAACTCAATAATTGTATTTATTTTTGTGTTGAATGGCAATTTTAAATCTGTGGTTCACTGTTAACTCACTGTTGTTTAGGAGTTAGACATGATTATCTTTGTGGAGTTGCAAAAGAAATGTGATGCTGAAAAGGTGCTTTATCTTACGATGTGCACATATTATTTGTAATTACCAAACAGTCAAAGAAATTAAAATTTTGCGGTCTAGGCAGCAGCAGCAGTTTAACATGTCAGTATGATTAGCTAAAGATTTAACCTCCATATTATGCCAAAGGGAATTGATTTACTTATAGGCCTACACAGGCAAGTGTTATAGATCTAGAGGTGGGGTTGCAACCCCCCCCCCCCGTTCAACTACTGACTAATGTTATCATGATACTAGTAAAATGGGGGACCCTAGCACCGCGTGCCTTCGGCACCCCTTTACTCAAATATCAACTCTCCCCCCCCCCGTATCCTGAAAGCTAGATCCACCCCTGCAGGCTCAATAATAATGCATTCATTGTTGTACGATACTTATGTCATTGTTATTAAAATATATAACTTAGTGGTTATAACTTAGAATCTACATTTCTAGCTTTTTTCTTAGTAATACTTTACTATTACTTACTTACTAATACCATACTTTAATATAACACATTTTACAGTCGTCTATAATTATTGCAGTTTAAAGTGCACACAAAATAAAATTATATTCATTATGAGTTCTCTTTATTAAATATTAATTATTATAAATGTACATCATGAACAAATATATTTAATATAAATAACTATATAACTATCTCAAAAAAATTGCAAAAGGGCACTGCGTGCGTGTGTGTGGCACACACTGCGTGCGTGTGGCATTACTGTTAATTACCAACTATACTTAATGTGCCACAAGTTCCTCTGCTTATATGTCATATAAAACTAAACAGAGATCAGAGATGAAATCTGTTTTTAATACTACTATGTAAAGTCTTTACAAAAATGTTTTTTTTACACTGCACTATCTAAACATTGTGCTTAATATCTATGTATGAACATGCACATTATATTGATCTAGGTAAACATAATCATACAAAGTGACTCAACACAGCAGTGCTCTTGTGCAATATACAATATATCATTTCCTACGCATTTATAAAAATCCACTATTGTCAGATTGACTTCAGTCATCGAACCTGAATGGCACATGCATTTTCTCAACTAATCCACAATACTCATTTTTATTGCTAATGCTATGCCTCACATCAAGAGTTAATAATACCTCCTTCCTCACATCTTGAGTGATATACGTTATCAGAATATAATAATCGGTAATAACTGCCTTGCCTAGGATTTCCCCCCATGCACTTGAAACTGAGTAAACTATAGTAGTAACTGAGAAGAGATTCAAATAGAAAAGTTTTCACAAAACAAACATGTGCTCCTGGGTCTATCAAGGCAATTTTCCACTTTATATGACCATAGTTATGAACACTTCAGAAAAGATTTGTAGAATTCATTGACTAAGTGCAACGGACTACAATGGATGAGCAAGGGTATGTAATGTTATGGGTGCAAATACACTTTGCGCATCCATTGTTATCATTATGCATCTATGAGACATCTATCACAGTATGCATGTGCACATTATATTGGGGCAGCCGCACACAGTATGCACACACAGTGTACTCGCACCATGCTACGTTACACGCTATCTGTTGACTGAGATTGATGGTGGAATGCAGGGTTCTCATTATCGGGTGGAGTAGTGACAGTTGGCGAGTCTCGCATCTGCATCTGCACAGGGTCATTCTTCAACTGATACCTTCTCGAGACAAAGAAGAAGACGACGAGACAAACCAAAGCCAAGGTGAAACCTAGTGAGGGCCAGAGCATGGAATGTATGACATGGTTTTTACTGCGCACTCTCACTCGCAATACACGTTCCCCTTGTGGCTCATGCCAGCAAATGTACTCCTGGCCAGGTTGGCCCCATTTGAGCTGATATTCATCAATCACCTTCTTATTATATGAAGGCTCTGAGCACGCTTGCACGGTGCACTGGAAAAAAATCAGAGAGAACAAATTGATATTGTATATTTGGCAATAGTGTTACTTGATATGTACACTGTAAATTGTAAACAACATAACCAGCACTTTGTACTAGATTAATTTTATCAAGAACATTACTCAGCTATATGGACAAAGTATATGTATAATTGTATATTATATATATTTATATATATATTATAAGTATAGGCGTCTTAACTCATTATAGCATATATACATCTTGATGCCACAACATAACCTCAGACAAGTGTGTCCATACAAAGTTACACCGTGGTAAAAGCGTACCCCGAGAGACTGGTGTGAAACCTCCTCATTGTCATAAATCATTGCTCGTGTGGTACTATTTGCCGCATCACTCCAGTACTCGACGATCACCTGCAGGCAGGGGAAGCTGGAGCTGCAACCCTGGCCACACTTGCAGGGGACCCAAGCTTCCACCTGGGTGGCAAACAGCACAGTGCAGTTGGTCAGCTCCAACGCGGTGGCATGCAGATAGGGTTTCACAATGACAAAGCCAAATAACACCAACGCACCGGTCGACATACACGCAAAAGCGACACACCACGCGCAGCAGCATTTGTACAACCTTCTTAGGTATGCGTGAGATTGGAATGCATGCGGCATTCTCTGTCGATCGAGATGTAGTTTGTACAGAGGCGAGCAGTGCTTTATTCAGTTGTTAAGAGCTTTCATGTGTCTACTTGGCCCTTCCAGGTTCTAGGACTAGCTGTTTCATGTCACGTAGCGAGGGGCGAGAAGGTAACTTGTAGCCAGTGTCCACTGTACTGTATGTAGTAGTACACTGTGGTATTACTAGAATAGTACTTAGTAGCAGTATCTAATACCATCATCAATGTATTAGTATTACTATTACATTGTTACGATTCGTCGATTGTATTACACGATAAGTCGTCGTCGTTCACGTGCGACCACAGCAAGCTAATCCACCCGCCGGATGACCTGTGATACACTAAATCGTTTTATTATTTGTTCGTACCCGTGATTCAGCAATATCTCAGCAATATCTCAATTACCTGTCCATATAACACTGCACAGCCACACGTAAGCGCTTCGATCGTGTATGGCTTGACGCCAAATCTTTGCTTGACGCTGACTTTGAACAGGTGATACATAGACTGACTCTACGCGTCGTTACTTCAACTGGTTGAGTTCGCTGCAGGAACTTATGGAGTCCGTCTGTGTGGACAGCTTACATGTAAGGATATTAATTATGCACGCGCGCCATCTACGGGTAGTGCAATATGCCTATGTACAAGAATTACCTCCGCCAGGGGCTTGGCGGAGGTTATGTTTTCAGCAACCGGCAGTTAGATGCGATATGATATGACTACTAGGCACTTTAATTTAATTTAATTAAATTTTTTTAGGGTTAGGGTTAGAGTTTAGGTTAGGTTTAGGGTTTAGGTTAGGTTAGGGTTAGGGTTAGGGTTTTATTTTTATTTTTAGGTGCCTAGTAGTCATATCATATCGCATCTAACTGCCGGGTGCATGTTTTCACCGGCGTGTGTTTGAGTGTTGGTTTGTGGGTTTGTACAAGTCATATTGTAGGTAATTACAATTAGCACTAATTTTAAAACGAATTGCGAGCATGGCATAGTAAACTTCGGATATAGCTAAAATGATATACTACGATAAATTACACCGATGGCATAATTATCGAGGGCCTGTGCCTGGCACGGTTATGCTCATGTATGCTTAATTAACCTGGCTACACGTCCTTGTGTGGGCGATTGGGCGTATTACTAGAAGATCATGTAAAGAGCCATAGATATCCTATGTAGTGTATATATAATATACAGTATATAGAATACATATGATATGTAACAAGTCAGCTATGCTCAGTGACGCCATATAACTTTCGCTCTGAGCCACAGGAAAAAAACGAAAAAAACGAATAAAACGAAAAAAAAAAGTGTTATATATATAAATAGAAGTATCTTCTATTTATATATATAACACTTTTTTTCGTTTCAGGTCCTTGTGCTCTGAGCCGCCCTGACTGTTTTGGATAACGAGGAAATAGCATAAGCCGTTTAGAGAAATACAATCATTTTAAAAGTAGCTTTTTCCATCAACCTATAAATCTTTCAATTACACGTTTTTATTCCTGAGTAATTCACTGATTAAAGATGTTTTACATACGACGAAGACAAACTCAGAAACACGCAATATAATTGTAGTGCACTGCCGTATAAATAGCTCCAAAGCCGCGTTCCTTGTATTTTACTATAGGCGCACATAATGTGCAGGCTATTGCGATATAGAATTATAGGCTATCAATAAAGCCAAGAAAAGAGAATTTAATTCATAGAAACAGTTTATTATCGAGACAAATGAAGTCTATAATTATTAAATACTAATCATATCATTAAACGTTATGAAGGTGCTGTATGTATAAAATAAATAACTTTTCGTCCAGGTAGCTAAAATTAATACTATTAGTCTGCTAGCTATTCACGATTATTCAAGATTGACATCATTATTTATATATAAATGGCACACGCGCTACGCGAGAGAAATACATTGATAAAATAAAGATTGTCTACTAGAAATCCTGCTTAACTATAGTTATAGCAATTTTTGTGAATTTACCTATAGCAAAAACAGAAACAAATGCGTAAAACATAACTTTGCCATCCAAACAGAAATCAGATTACGATGGGAATTTTATACGATTTACTGTTCGTGGGTTGGCGAGGGTGATACCATAGCGAACGCGACCTCTTGGGATTCACAAGGGAATGAGAACGAGTTGGACCAACTAATGCGACTCTTGCTTACTGATGTTCCGGCTCATGGATATGAATTATCGAGTCTAGCACATACCGGTGCGGTGATCTATCAGTCGTATTTACACAATGAAGACTCTGTAAATGATCGTTTAAGTGTGAATCGTCCGTCACGCATTTTTAGCATCGTGGTGATTGTGGCTGCCATAATAACAAGAGCGTTGGCCGATATAAGAAATTGATTTTTGCGCGTCTCTTTTTACTTCTGAACGACTTTTGTTATGAACGTTAACGAATTTCGAATGACGTTACGTCTGTAACACACCGTCTTCGTAGAGCGGAGTGTCTCATTTTTAGTTAAAAAAAACATTACCAGATATACGATACTATAGTTATGGGTCAGTTGCGGGCACGGTAGGCGCGAGCAACACAAATTTTAATGTTACGCGTGTCCCTGATATATATTATAGAGGTTTCTTGGTGCGAATGATGGTACTGGCACCCGGTCGGGCTGCGCTCTTGTTTTGCTGCGACGATTATTCTTGTTGCGATTACGGCGTTTCGCGTTCTGACGCGCGCGTTTCCGCTTGTCGTCCTGGCGGCGGGCATCTTCATCGAACGGGTTCCTATAGACGGCGTCGTGTAGCGTCGCGGGCAGAGCCGGATATCCGAAGCCCGTGTTTTCCAGGTAAGGATTAACATAGCGAGCGACGTTATGCCGAAGTCCAGCCTCTGTCGCTGAGCTCTCGTCTGTACCTCCCGGTACGGGGTTGTTAATGTAGGAGTAGTACCGTTCATGCTCCGTATTGTAGAATGGTCCGTCTGTGCCAACAGTACCGTATGGATTTCCCGCCGCGTAGTCGTCGAGAGGGGAAGGCTGTTGTTGTTGCTGGACACCATGCACGCCGTACGCATTGCTACCCGCACCTGGGTTATCGCTAGACAGTGAAAACCCATGCGATATTGGATAGTTGTAGGTTGGTTGCTGTCCGCGGGCGGCTGCGGCAAATGGGTTGCCCTCGGCAGGAAAACCACCGAGAAAATAAGCAGGTTGGGCTAGACCAGGGGCAGGAATCTCGTACGATTCTCCGGGTACGATATCTGAGGCATCGCTGGTCGCGCCGCCGGCCGGACCCTTGTCATAAACACGGGCCGACTCGGGGAACGCCTCCGGGTTCCTATTGTAAGCTGACGGATCGAAATATCTCACACCGTCATTGAACGCGAAATTGCTGTAGGGGTTACCGTCTGGGTGGTTATCGTAACTATTCTGTTGGTCTACGCTGTAGGGTACTCCGTAATAGGTATTCCCTTGTTCATCGCCAGCTCCGTAGCTTCCTGCGCCCGGGCCGTATGCGTTGCCTCTAGTGCCGCCGCGGAGTGGCTGCTGCGTAACGCTATGAGCGGGATTGTAGAACTGAGAGTCCTTTGTATGCGCGTTTTGTCCCGTCGAATATCCACTGGCGTATTTGGAATTTAAGTTATGAATTGCCTTTCTGAGTACGTTTTCCTCTCGTTTCGTTAGTGTTTCGGGCGGCGCCTGCGAGAGGCGGCCGGCTGCTGTGCTATTCAGGCGCGAATCCTGTTTGTAAGACTCGTGCGTAAGAACGAACTTGATGCTCTGAATTTGTCCGTCAGCTGTACTCTTTTTCTCCTCAAATCGTGCCTTGAAAGGCTGTGATGCTTTTCCCGGCAACCCTTGTGGATTGGCGGTTTGTAGTGGTTCCGGGTATATGCTCTCTCCGGGGAAACGATTCACTGTGGCTGGATTGAAATCCGCGATCGGGGCTGGAGGTAATGGGTAAGGATCAGGGCCATAATCTCCATAATCACCATAGGGTGGTGACTGACCAGAAAACTGATCAAAAGGACGCAACCCTTCGTGGAAATATTCCAATGGCTGTTGGACGGAGGAATCTCTAGGTTGGAACTGGCTGTTGTACTGTGCGCCGACATAGATCGGATTCGGTTCGCCAGCATAGTATGGTGCGAGACGAGCGACGTAGCCGGGCGGCCGAGGGGAATTATTGATCGTCTGTTTCCGCAAAGGCTTCCTAAGTGAAACGTTTGTAAACGCTCCTTGGTATCCGTACTTTGTTTTGATCAATTTCTTCCTATTGTCTCCGCCGCCTTCAGCGTCTGTGAGAATAATTTCTGGGTCTTTGTATCCGGGCCCCTCATCTGGATAGCCGTGCCGCACGTCAATGTTATAGTCACCTGGATATCCAGCCTGCACAAAGCGTGTAAATTGCTGTCCGGGATCCTGGTAGAAAGGCAGCTGAGAGCCATACTGTTCCTCTCCGTAATATTGAGTTGGTTGTTGGGGTCCATACTGTACTGCATGTTGTTGTGGTCCGTACTGCACAGAAGGTTGCTGATATTGTACTGAAGCTTGCTGGGTTCCGTACTGCACAGGAGGTTGCGGGTATTGTCCTGAGGATTGCTGAAGTCCGTTCTGTACAGGAGGTTGCTGGTATTGTACTGAATGTTGCGTAGATCCGTATTGTACAGAAGGTTGTTGGTGTTGTACTGAAGATTGCTGAGGTCCGTTCTGTATAGAAGGTTGCTGGTATTGTACTGAATGTTGCGTAGATCCGTACTGTACAGAAGGTTGTTGGTGTTGTACTGAAGATTGCTGAGGTCCGTTCTGTACAGAAGGTTGCTGGTGTTGTACTGAATGTTGCGTAGATCCGTACTGGGCTGCATGTTGTTGGGACGCTTGCTGCAATGACGGTTGCTGGTTTTCGTGTACAGACGGTTGCTGTGATTTACGCTGTGTAGGGGATTGCTGTGATTCATGCTGGTTCAAATCTCGCACAGTTTCTAACTGTGTAGAATCCTTGCGAGAGTCGGTCTGCGTGGAAGGCTGTTGGGCGCCGAACGATGCTGACACTGGTTGGCGATACACGGTTGGTTTACGAGCCACTGTAGGTGTCTGCTTCGTATCGGCGGCTGTGCTGTAGTCTACGAATAACTGCAAGAATAATTAGTAGTCAGTATGAAAAATAAAATGCGGGTTTTCCAATTTTTATATTGCTTATTTTTTTAGCTGAGATAAATATCTTGCTAGCAACAAAATGGGAAGGACTAGGAAATTGAAAAACATATCATGGATTCATTGTATATATAAGAATCGTATTTTGCACTTTAAATGAAGTCTATGTAAGATAAGCTTACATTATTATTATTATTATTATTATTATTATTATTAGTGGTATTATTATTATTATTATTAGTGGTATTATTATTATTATTATTATTATAATTATACCAACAAATAACTTAATTGACTACCGATGCCAATAATACTAATATTAGAGATACAGTTGTAATTTTTAGCAGTGTTTCATTGAGTGGAATAATTAACCAAGAAATTATTCATATTGGTACGCCCTCAAATATATAACTGAACTACGTACCAAGCAAATCGATATGAATCCAACAAACAGGATTCTTCTTCTAGAAGTCATTTTGCCTGAAAGAACAATCAATAGAAAGTGATTAGCGGTGTCATTATTCAATTGAAATGTTTTAGAAACATGTGCAAAGGAATGGCAAGCCAAAACAACATTTACTATTGCCTCAATAATGGGTAAAGAGAGTCCTGTACGAGGCCAAGAAACAAGGTCAGTTAATGCATTCTCTGTCGCGTCACATATATAGAAACGATCTATACACGTGGCGCGCGCGCGTATTTCCATAAAGGATGTTAGCTTTGTTTTCACGTGGTTGGTTTTTCTATGCGTCACTGTACAAAGTTAGCCGGCCATGTCGGCTAAACCATTCTTCCGCATCGGTAAAACCTTGCGAGAAGATGTTATCTAGTCCCACGCTCCGTAATCCCGTACAATCGCTGAGCGCGCTCACATATATTTGCTTCCGTGATGAACGCTGATAACTCCGCCGATGCTTTAGTGCTATTCGGAGACATAGTCTCGCCAGCGGGCTTTCAGAATTGCTCTATTATTGAAAAATGTGGTACGGGAATGCCTGCGTACGTACCAGATGGAGCAGCATGAGAGATAATAGACAAGATATATGATATCGATGATAAACATCGCCAGTCTTACCTGGTACAACCAGGTAGCTTAACCTAAGATGGCAAAATCGATAGAACTCCTTACTCAAACTTCGAACTCAGCTTTAGAAGGTTCGAGTTCGTGTGCGTGAGACACGTCTCGCATCTTTGAAGAAGACGGCTTTGCATGAGTTCAAATGGTCGTTTCCGCCAGTATTAACGACGTGTCGTACGCACTCATACTATTTTATGGCTTTATTACCCCGGAATGAACTTTTCAGGCAAAATGTGAACCTACTGTGCTTCGATCTATACCAGAAAAATTGAAAAGCCATCATTCAGTCCATAGAGAAATCTGACACGACAAACGATTCACGTATATTCTTGTGAGTCTTTCCCAGGCCTCTGCATGTCTAGCAGTACTCATTGCCCTTTGACAGATAATAACAGTTAATAACGTGTTGCCGCCCCGGCGTCCACAACCTAAGAGTGTAGTGGCCTAATTCTGATAGAGTGGCGAAACACTACTTAGTGTCGGTTTTCTATTTCACGCCTCGGAGTCGAGAACAATATCACGGCAGACGAAGGATGTAGCGAGTGCGATTTCTACGAACAATGAGTTTTGTGCTTCGTGCGAATATGTATCGCTAATAATCCGTTCTGTAAGCTCGTGCGAAAACTAGTTTACAACACGAACAAGAACCAGGCGTTGCCGAGCTCCCTCTCTCCTCTCCCCCTTTCTCTCTGCATCTACCTCTTCCTCACTGTCTGTCTCCTTCTTTTTATTTCTCTGTGACTTTCTACCTCTGTCTCTGTGACTGTCTCTCTAGCTCTCACCCTCTGTCTCTCTGTCTCTCTGATTGTCTGTCTAATTGCCTGCCTGCTTGTCTGTCTGCCTGTCTGTCCGTATGTCCGTCGTCCGTCTGTCCGTCTGTCCGTCTGCCCGTCTGCCCGTCTGCCTGTCTGTCCGCCTGTCTGTCTGTCTGTCTATCTAGCTGTCTGCCTCTCTCGTCTCTGTCTCGCCCCCGCTGTGCGTATTGAAAAGCTGAACGAATTATCAAAGATTTTAAAGAAAATTTGTTAGCGCTATGTCAGTTAACGCGAGATGATATTATCACGAATAGCTTGTGGTATAGCAGTAAACGAATGGTCTGAAGCATATAATTAATATGTTGCATAATGAATAACGCAACCCTGCGCATAACTATATGTCATGCACCGACTCATGCGCAATTATATTCTTTTTTCCACACATAAGAAAATAAAAACATTACAATAACGCTCTATCTGTGAGTGTGCCTAAAAACGCCTTTAATGTAACATGAAATAACCGCAATTCTATGCTCGCGACTTGTGCACTTACCCATATCATGCTAAAGCAAAAAAAAACACTTAGCGACGTTTCCTGCTTCATTATAAATTATGCACGTAGATAGCTTCATACACCTTTAATCTATGTATGCACTACATTTAGGTACAGATGATAATATCGGGAATGGCATAACATAGATGTCACCAGGAGCTAATAATGACATTGTTTGTCATTATTAGCTCCCGATGTCACGCATATACATGAGAAGATTTTTACATGTGATGGTATATGATAATATAGATGTCAGATTTATATTATGTCACTCCCGGTAATATGAAACGTTGTTGTGTAGGATTATCTGTGTGGTGTTTGATCGCCAGTCATAGTAGTATTAATAAATCGTTCCGTGGGCTTTAATTCCTGGCATTTAATCATGGTATAATTATCTATAAGTACAGACTACAATAAAAACTTCAGACAAGTAGCATTCATCAGTTAATGAAAGCTCATGATTATTCCACTATGCAAGCTAGTTATCAAAATGAATTTCTATGCTATTGTGAAAAATAAAACTGTTAGATTATTTGTATTTTCGTCTCGTATGCTTCTCTATAGGTGTATTCTTCTCTCTGGGTGGGCCACACACTGCGGAAGGAAGCGTCCGACATAACACGCACGGCGCTGAGCTGGAACCCGCAAGGAAGACGTCGGGTAGGAAGGCCTCAAGTAACCTGGAGGCGAGCCTTGGAGGCGGAACTGAAGAAGAAGGGCTACACCTGGAGGAAATGGAGCGGAGGGCGACCAACCGAGCGACATGGAGGGAGTTCACAAATGACCTATGTCGCCGAGGAGACTGAAGGGTTACACAGAGAGAGTGAGAGATACTTCTCTATAAATGACAGCACATAAATAGTTTGCGGTTATAACGTGTTAACTTAACCGCGTGCGCTCTACATCATGAACCCCTTCCGATAAGTTAATAGTCATCACTCGCTGTTCATGGGAGTAGAAAAGACTGAAAACATGACAGTAGGCCTACGCACGGCCTCATGTACACAGGGATGCTGCACGCACGTACATATCTACGCATGCACACACGCATGTATATGCTTATATGCACGCACACACGCATGCATGCTTATATGCACGCACACACGCATGCATGCTTATATGCACGCACACACGCATGCATGCTTATAAGCCCGCACACACGCATGCATGTCTATATGCACGCACCCACGCATCACGCAAGTACGTGCGCACACGCGGACACACGTACATAGACGCACGCATGTTTGCACCCACTCATACGCCCACACAGCACGCACGCACGCACGCACGCACGCACGCACGCACGCACGCGCGCATGCTCTCACAATTTTTTACGTTACCAGCTTCAATATCTCACATTGATCCATGGATGTGTGAGAACTAAGACAAAACTAGCAAAGATAGAGTTCACAAGCTTCACAAGCCGTGGACCACATTTCAACTTCAAAAATGATAGACAACGCGTCGCATCTAACTAGCCGACATGTATAAAGACGCTAGCGGTGCAAGATCGAGAGAAACCTCCGTGTCCTTCTCGTCTATAACCCGCACAGTGCCGTAAACTACACAGCGAACAACTTTAGCTTCCTACCTTTCTAGGTCCGTTCCCGCCCTGCGAGCCTGCAAGAACACTCGTTGAGCTGACGCCGTAGACTGAAGCAACGCCCAAGTGCGGTTGGCTCAATGAGACGCCTAGCTTGTACGCACGCGTGACCTCTGGCCTCGCACTCCTTTGCGATTCTTTTCAGCCTCGACCTGTCATGCTTTTCGATTTAGGAAAGATTCCGCAGCGTTTCCCAGCGATAGAGTCGCATTACGGCAGCAACGGCAGCAGTAGGCCTATCAGCCGTGCGGGTTAGTTTGCACACCGTCGCCATGCTCCAATAAGCACGCGCCGACTAAAAAGGTGAACGCCGGCTTAGCATGCTTGAGCCGTCGTCGTTTAACTGCGAGTGCACGATATACAACACGGTTCACCTAGCCGGTGGAGAAACGGGTAATTTCTTACAAAAACGTGGAAATGTTTGCTAAAAGTAAATATCATTTCTTTGTGTTCGTAGTTTTTTTAACTTCTATTGCTTGACGAGTATTGTTGCGAGTGTAGCCCGCAATGTGAGACGCATGTTGATCCGTGACATTAACTGCCCTAGCTGGCGAGCAACCGAAGAAATCTTAGCAGGTCGCGACAATGTCCTCATTAAATTATTCACGTTTTGCTGGTAATAAGGGTGCGCAAATAATACCCCGGGGTTAGGTTAATATTTTTTAACATTTATAATTACAGTGCCGCTAGTCGATCCCTATAATGGGATATACTACTATACGTTGTCTACTGAGCAAAATTATCTGATCATACAGTGTTAACCTTTTACATTCCTTATGCGAACTATAGCCCCGATTTTGGTGTGACTAATCTTGCATTATGTGTATCGTTTTCTCGGTCTATCTGTCCATTATGCCACTGTACTTATTGGGTCTGCGTTATTGGGTACTACAGGCTGTTTAACATTGGAGTAATCATTCTGCCGATTACTGTCAGAATGATTACTCCAAGGTTTAACTCATTGCGCATGGCATGTATCGATTGTTGCTTAGACGTCTTAATTATATGTCATGTGATAATGAACGAAATCGTACTTCAAATCTCGTTTAAAGCCGATACGATTTAGGAATAAACACTTAATGCGACTAGATTTATCAGATAGGGCGCTGCAAGCGTTCATCGGTAATATAAAATGGCATGTTTCACTAGGATGTGTTTGTGTTGTAAGCTGTATTACTGTTCTTCCGCATACGCCGCCGCTACTGTTGCGGTACAGTATTATATGTCGGACATGAGCGATTTCGGTCCAGGGGAAGAGCGAGACGCACGTACGCTAGCGCGCCATTTCTGGACAAATTCAGCCTTATTTTGAACTGAAGAGATCCATCTCTTTTTCATTATTAATTAGCGGCAAGCGATATCACAACCTTAATTCTATATCATCGTTTCAATGTTTTCAGCGATTGGAAAACGCTAACCTGTAGGTAAGGTTAGCCAGTGGGCACCATTGCCAGATTATCGTATAGAATTACTCATCAGGAAAAATGTAACTAATTTAACACAATGAAACAACGATAACGCTCTTATATGGATACAAAGCAATACTTTAATAAAAAGAAAATGATATGAATTAATATAATTAATATTCCATTAACAGAATACAAAATTGGCTTTACAAAGCGACCTGTCGACAACTATAGTTTCTAGATGCTCACACAAACCAACGAAAACATGCAGGCAGTATACGTGGCTGATCCCGGACTTGGATAGATTGAGTGGTTGTTACTAGCGGATAAAAGCAAATAAGGGTGGAGTCTGGGAGTTCACCCCCACAAAATTGTGAAAATGTAGGCCTATAATTTGCTATTGTTGGCAACTGAGGCAATTATAGTTCATATAAATATATTGTTAGTATATGTTGGTGTAAATATTTACTAGGTTCACTCTACAAACGATACACGTACAGACGCACGCGCGTGTATTATAGCCAGGCGCGCGCGCGCGCGCACACACACACACACACACACACACACACACACACACACACACACACACACACACACACACACACACACACACACACACACACACACACACACACACACACACACACACTACACACACACACACTACACGCGTACACGTACACGTACGTACGGACGTACGACGTTACACTTA